GTAAGAAAAAGTGGTTCACCGGGATCATCATCAACGTTAAGAACAGTTGGTTTACGAGTTGGAAACATTTTACGAAATGGACCTCGATATCCATTTATACATTCAAATGTAATTAAACAGACAATTGCAACAAATAACAAACGCATCTTTTTACAAGGACTAAAATGAAACAAAAAGCAGAATAAAAGATATTGTGGTTGTTATATATATATGAGAAAGATAATGATGAATTAGATGCATAGAAAGCATGATGCTTAAATCAGCTATCTACCTGTATATATCTAGATGACAACGATAAAAAAAAAAGTGGCTGAATGTTTACCACAATTTTGAAATAATGACAAAGAATGTTTTTCTTTTTTTTTTTTGAGATGTAATTCTTAATTAAAATCAAATAGAATTTATTGAAAGTAGTTTCTTTTCTTAGATTATTGTAATCAGATATCTATTAATGATTTCATCATAATTTGTAAAACAAAAAACATCTGGTTTAATTCATATTTATAACGTAATTATTTTATCAAATTATGAAATATTCAAATAGTTCAAGGTCAATTTTCATTTTTTTTTCTTCTATTGATAAGAAACCTAATCGTATCTTAAAAGAAAACTTATTAATTTTCTGTTTTTTTTTGTATGTATTCATATACAATACATTTAGTTATTCATAAGAATAGTACAAAAAAGAAATCAGAAATCATTCATGTAAAAATATTCTTTTTTTTCTCTTCGTTCTCTCCGTTCCGCTTTGGACAAGCGAGAAATAGTCCGAAACATTTTATATATATATATATATATATTACCATTCTGTTCATGTACATATTATCGTATTTAACCATAACATAATGATGTTAACATTATGTTTCTTAATATTAGTTTGCAATCAAATTCATGGGAAATTTTTATCAAATTCTGAAAGTTCATCATTTATTTTTTTTCGACATATACGTTTACCAACAGATGATCAACAATATTCTATTCGATGTCCATATAATTTAAATCATTTAAATATTAAATTATTAAATTATTCAAATGAACATTGTTTTAATTTATATTCAACATCAAATAATAATAATAATAATAATATTTGTATAAATCATCATCTTCCATGTCAATTTCATGCTAAATCTATTCAACTTCATTGTAAACATCATTCATATTCGAAATATGTTGATATTACTTATCAATGTTTATATAAGTATGTATTCTTTTTTTTTAAATAGAAAAAAAAAAAATAAAAAATTCATTTAAATTATTTCAGAACAACAATTTCTTCGAATATACAACATAATACTTTTACATTACATACATTTTCATTTCCAATAAATTCAGAAGAAAGTATTGCTCTATTTCTAATTGTTATTAGTATAATAATTATTTTTTGGATAATATTTTTTTGTTTTTGTTTTATTTATTATCGTCATGATGATAATAATAATGATGACGAACATGATTTACTTTCTCAACAATCTTATATAAAAGATGATATAATTGATTTTAATTTATTATCTATGAAAAATCATTCGATTATTGTTGATAATCTTTGTCTTCATGTCAATCCATTCGATAATAATCATATCTCATCATTAAGAACAACATAATTCATTATACATATGATTATGTAATATCATCAATCGTTTTCAATTATAGACATTGATGTAACAACAAATACTATTGATTAGTTCGTGAACAAAAAAAAAAATGTCACTTTTAATTTTTTTTTTTCTATTTTAAAATAAATATCATTTAGCTATGATTAGTTTGATAAAAATCTATGAAATATTATTCTCATTAAAGATATGATAAATCTTTGCCATATAGGATAACTTCAATATGATTATATATAGAACAATTAAAATCAAGTTATTATATATGATGAAAAAATTTTGTTATTATTTCAAAAGATATAATATGATAATCAAATTAATTATGTTGATAGCGCCGAAATAACTTTTGTTTTTTTTTGTTCATTTGCTATTTGTTATTAAATGAAGGACAATTCTAACCAAGATAATTATGATGTTCAAAGCATAGATAATTGTAATAACATATATCAACAACCGATTACTCATCAAACAATTATTATTAAAAATCTTGAACAATCATTGAAACAGAATAAAATATTAATTAACGAAAAATTTATTTCAAATTATTATCAATGGTCATTATATGATATTAAAAGTGCTCATGATGATCTTTTTAATAAAATGTCTTCGGAATATTTACAAAAATTATTTTATTCTCAAAATTCTAAACTTGAATCATTATCTTATTTTAATTGTAAGAAAATTGGTGAATATTCATTAATGTACGATCGAATTATACATGGAGATTATATTTATCCCTTACAACATTTTGGTACTAGTCAAATAAATAAACTACATCCTTTACGTAATTCAATACCATGTGAAGAAACATTTCGATGGATGCCAGTTCGTTCATCATCAATGATTGGAAGACGAGTTCATTTACCATTAGATTTATTTTATACTACATCAATTTTTAATCAACAAAAAAAAATCATTAGAAATTAAATAGTTTATCGCTTATTTAAATAAACAATTAATATTTTCTTTTTAAAATAAATTTTATACTAGCTTAATAATATAATCTAATGAGGGAAGGCCACCAACTGTTCCCTCGCTTTTGAGCCGGGACTGTGTGTATCACGTAGTCCGTAATGAGCTATTGCGTTTTTACGGTATTTTTTAATAGAAGGCTGGGGTCCCCCTCAGAAACACGAGGAAAACTGATTGTCGAATTTTTCACAGAGATGGGACCTAATGGAAATAGTTTATTGTGAAAGTTTCAGATCTTTTCGTTGTCCCTATCCAGAAATACGAACATCGAGTCTTCTCATGTGTATGAGCGATGTAAAAGGCACACTTTTAGCATAGCCGTATCTTACGGTAGGAACAACGAAAAGATCTGAAACTTTCACAATAAACTATTTCCATTAAGTCCCATCTCTGTGCAAAATTCGACAATCAGTTTTCCTCGTGTTCCTGAGGGGGACCACAGCCTTCTATTAAAAAATACCGTAAAAATGCAATATCTCATCAGCAATAAGCTATTAGTCCGAACTCTTTTCAGGGTTTTCATAGCTCATTAGGGACTATATGATGCACATAGTCCCGACTCAAAAGCGAGGGAACAGTTGGTGGCCTTCCCTCGTAAAACTTAATTTTTGTCTTTCATCCGTATATCATTTTGACAAAAAAAAATTCGATAGTAGATTCAAGGTGTGATGATAAATAAGTGCAGTTGAATAAACTTTTGTTGATAATAATAAATTAGATAACGACATGACATTGTCATACGATCGGATTTTTCTCAAGACCAAAGTCTACCAGATAAAAAAAAAACTATTTTATACAATCAATTTTATTAGTTATAATTATGTACACAGCACTAAAAAGAAAAAAATTTCTTCCGAATTTCAAATTAAACGATGTGTAAATATTTTTGATAGGAACGAACTAGAGATCTATGTGATGTCGATCGTTTAAAAGAGAAAATTACAATATACATTTTGAGAAATTTTCTCAGAGTAATCCTCAAGTTTATTTTTTTTGAAAAATGAAGACTTTTTGATGGACTGAGAAGGTCGATTTTCCAAAAAATGCTAAGTCACCTTTGAGTTTGAAATAGATATTACTGACAATTTTTTCGGAATAATTACTACACGAATAACTTCGTTCATTTCTAGACAATTTCTTATTTTTTTTACACAAAATAAAACATATATTGAAAATTGTTTTCTTATTTTTATTTTTTGTTCAATATTAAAACTATTTGATTCGATCAACAATAAGGATAAATAATTGAGAAAAATCATACAAATAGTTTTTTCATAAAAGAAATTATAGAAAAATTAATGAAGTAAAATTTTTTTTGTATGTATCCATCATAACCAAGAAAATTTTCATCTAAATTTAAATAATAAAATCAATAGATATGTTAATAAATGTAATTAAATTTCATATAATTCTTAATCGATTTTACTAACTACATATTGAATAAATTCAATAATTATTGTTTATATTTTGATATGATTTAATTTTGAGACATATAAGTTAAATAAAATATAGAAAATAATCATATTAAACAAGTCATGAAAATTGAATCGAATATTTTCCAATAATTAAACATCAATTGAGTCATGCTACCATGGGAGAAGGAATTCTTTTGTTTTTGTACAGATTCACAGCAGTGACTGCCATGTTTTTTTCAGTAAAACCCAACGTTAACTTTGTTTATTGAAAAGTACCATTGGTCTAAGCACTTTACTTCTTGTTTATCAAATTTCTACATATGTTTTTTTTTTATTGAATTTGTATTTTGTATGTTGAAAAAACAATGATTTATACTCTAAAAAGTATGGTACTAGAGTTTTATCTATTGGGTAGCTTTTCTAACTAATGATTATTTTCATGGCGCCATCTTCATTAAATAACCAAACTAGTAAACTGAGCAAAAACTGTTTGTGCGCCTGATCCGTACCGTCAGCTTCAAAATGCTCACAATCAAAAGATAGATCGGATGTCACTGAACTTTGACTTTTCTTTAAAGAGTTAATAAAATGTTCATGATGCAAGATGTCACCAAGATTCAAACATAGTGAGGTTTAGTTTCGTTGAACATTAAAATTAAAATAAAAAGAAAATATGGGTAGTTAATAGCGGTTGATTAAGCTTTTTAAAAGGGTTAATCAAAGATAATGCCTAATTATTCTGCACGAATTAATTTTAAAATCCAATAGAGAACCATATGATTCATATCACAATGAGGCACAAAAACTTGCTTCAAAGGAGCTGTGCTGACAAGTTTTTTTTAATCAGTATAATCATTTAGAATAACTTAAATTCAATATTGAAGGATGAAAAGTTACTAAACAACCAAAATTAATTCGTTGTATGGCGTAATTTTCACGTCGCGTGTTGTTGACTGAAGAAAAAAATAGGACACATTTCAAAGAACAAGAAAAAATAAAACAAAAATATCGATAGGTGCGACATTGAGCATTTCTCTGACAATCCTGTATGTTCTGTTACTTCTTTCCTATGTCCAATAGACGATTTTGTGAGTAGGATTTTTTCGTTCTGTTCTTTTCTCGTTACTGTTTTTAGTAAATGTTTGTAGCTTTGACGTACCACATCTATTTATTAACAACAATTTTCAATTACTATTGTATGATTATATCAAGGAGAGAATATGGCATATGAATTTATTCGACAGTTGACACATGATAGTGAACAATTCGAAGAAGAATGGGGAGACATATGGAGTCGAGTGAATCGATTGTTTAGAGATTGCGAGACGGAAAATGTCGATGTAGAAACTTTCAAGGTCAAAGTATTGGATGCCTTAGTTGACTATATTCTAGCTGAACCAAATTCGATGGTAAAACCAACATCTGCCAAATTTATATTTGTCGAAGCCGTGATCGAACATTGTGCTAGAGAACCATTGCCATCATTGTCGGAAATCGTTCGTATCGTTCGACGTATTCTAGATTGTGAAATGATTTTTAATCAATGGTATCTTAGTTCGATCGAAGCATTTCATTTGAAATTTAAACTCTGTCAACTTTTAACATCAACTCTATCGTACGATCTAATCGAATCTTTCTTACAAAGTTTAAAAAAACATACATTTTTAAATGATCAATCCGATAAAATAACAGAAGAAAATTGGCAACATTATTTTTCACGGCGAATATTTTCTCCTTTGTCATGTGATTCGAACAAATTAAATGATGAAAAAACAATGCTCGCAATACGACCAATATTTCAGCAAATTTTTCGGTGAGATAAATATGTTTTTGTTTTTTTTGTTTTCGAATAAGTGATTGAAAAAGTTTCCCAATAAATTTTGAATATGCTTCTCAAGAAGTTCACATTTTCTTCGTTGTTCCATAGACATGCAGTTCGTTTATCTCATCAATCACGTGTTTGGGCATCAATACTAGATGTTTTTACACGAACATTACCAACTTTATTCGATAGTTATGTTAATGTAGAAGATGCTCAAATCGATTTTTTGCAATGTATCGAAGAACCAATATCGAATGATTATATTCTATTCATTTCAAAATCGTATAATCGAAATCCGCATTTAATTAAAAACAATTTGTCTCAGGCATTATTGGTCATCGAACGTCTTCTCTTAGGATATCATATTCGAGCAGTACGCTACTATATTGATCAAGCAATATTGGCTCATATTGAAACAGTTATCGATATAGAAGCATTAGTTCAAACGTTTATTCGTGTGTGTCCATTGATTCCGATCGATCATCGACAAGAATCATGTAAGGAAGTTATATCGAATGTCGCCTACAAGTTAGGTCGAATGAAATGTTCGAAAAAATTAGCTCCGATTTTCTTTGATTTTGCTATTACTCTTCTTGATTTATGTGTTCTTGAAGCACCATCATGTGCCTTGTATTTACTTGAAAAGAATGATTTCTATCAATGGAAAGATTTGGCACCACGTTTTACTGATTTACTCCGTTTGTGTTCAGCCTATGAGAGGGTCGAAGTGAAAAAATCTTCGAGTGAACTTGACTCACTCGTTACTATCCTTCGATTAGTAGTAGACCGAGCTAAAGCATATGCAATTATCTATCGATCAACACATAAAGAAGCTTTACAAGCCATTTCTCGATGGACTTACACGAATGATAATAATAATAATAATGATAATCGTAAAATATGGCCTAATCATGTTTATGATATGGGAAGACCAATGCTTGATTTGATTGATCAACGACACATAACAATTGATATTTGTACGCAGTTTATTGAAGCACTTCGATTGAGAATTATCGACAATGAATTAGCAGAAGATGACATACCCATTAACTATATAATGATTTCATTTTTTGTCGTAAGTGATCCTTTTTGATACAGATCTCAAGAGAATTCTTTTCTGTAGAATATTGCTGCTCAATTAACTAATTACATAGATCTACTTAAAGTTTTGTCAAATGATGTTCACAGCCGATTGGCAACACTTCTTCTCAAAGCACTATCTCGTCCACTTCGATATGAAAATGGTGATATGTCTATGGAATATGCCATTGCAGAGAGACTCTGGCATTGTCTTTGTCCCTATCTAATCAATGAAGCTGATGTTCGTCTCTATGAACCGTGCATTCAACGAATACATTCACTTGCTTGTGATGAAGATGAAACAAAATTTTTTGAATGGTGGTCTACATTCTGGTGTTGTATTACAATGAAAGTACCAGATTTTGCTGCCAATTATGTAGAAGATTTCTTTCAAGATGTATTTGAACACAAGCAAACTGTCATAACATCAGTGTTGCCTGTAAGTTTCTACTGAAAAATTGTCTAGTAGATTTTTTCTAGTAAATGAGTGTGTTTATATTTTACAATACATTTTATTTGACGACCTAGATGCTCTATTTCAAACGACCTGAAGCGTATCATGCACGATTGGGTAATATCATTGATGCACTTCATAGTAGTGATGCCAGCTCTAGCTGTTGGCTAGCTCAAGTATTTGCTACTATTGCTCAAGAACGTCCACAATTGATTACATCAGCACAAGTCGATCGTATATTTGCCATTATTCAAAGTCGATCAAACTCTTCACACGATCTTCATTTTCTCTTTCAAGGACTAGGCTCTGTAGCCAATATTGAACCACTTTTATTTGATTCTTATCGTCCTATAATCTTACAATTTGTTGTAGAATCTCAGAGCGTACCAGCTATGAAGTGTCTTCAACAATATTTTGTTGCTGCAACTCTTGTGCATGGTCAACAATCGGCTTCTGAATATCTTTCAGTTCTCATCGATCTACTTAAAAAAGACACAAACATCACAAATGACATTCGTTCGCAAATTTTCCATACCTGTCAACTGATCGGAGTCATTAACAAGCAAGCATTGGAAACAAAGCGAAATGATCTATTGACTTTTGATACTTATTCAGATTGTCGAATACTGATCGATTTTATTGATGGCAAAAGATTGACCGAGGAAGTTCAAGCATCGATCAATAAAACGCAAGATGAAGTCGCACAGATGGAAAAACGAGTGGTGAAGACTGAACGCGACGTCGAGAATGTTACGAATGTTGTCAAAGGACAAGAACTTAAAGTAAGCCTATTTTTTATTCATTAATTCAATATCATTGAAATCTAAACGACGAAGATAGATGAACACGGTCAGTAATGATGTGATCAAATTTTCAAATGAATTAGACTATTCATATTGTTGTTCCTGCATACATTAATCGTCTAGAGGTCCGCTTCGGCGATTCAGTCATGAAAGGCAAGCTGTTTGAAAATGATACACTGTCTGGCTTGTCCATTGTATTTTTTAACATCGGAGTGTTATCTAGTCGATTGAATATATTGCTAGCAAATAGATATAGTTGAATTCATTTTCAAAAAAAAAAAAAACATTTCAATATGATGAATTTGATAACTTATGAACAATGTCAAAGACAGTTCCATTTTTGTAGAGGTCGTTAACACAAATTTCCATGTTTATCGTTATTTGCTCGTCGTCTTTTGCAATTCTAGTTAATTCAGCTGAGACTCAATTTCTTACCGTGCTATTTTTACTTGAAATTGACCACTTCTAATTGAACATCTCTGTATTCTTCTGTATCCTTTTCTAGGTGACGAATCTTGCTGTACAAGTGGATGCTGTTGACAATCGCTTAAGTGATATCAGCGGACAAGTAACTGCACAATCACGTGAAATCGAACGTATTGATGCAAAAACTCTAAGTCATATTCCCGTTGCATGGGGTCGTGAAGTGAGCAAGCTTTTGAATCGACGCGCCAACAATGATTGGCGTTTGCTCGGCAAACGTTTCGGCTATTCGAACAGTGAACTGCGTCATTGGGCGTTACAAGTTGATCCGACCATGGCTCTACTCAACGAGTGGTTTATGACACATAAAGCCGATGAAGCGACCTACGGTCTAGTAAAGATGCTCAACGAAATCGGTCGACAAGATGTCGCAAAGATCATTCAAGACGCAGTGGCTGCTGCAGGGGATCTCATTCCTGACGACATGCCTTTCGATATCAAACGATTGCCTCCAGTGTTTCTCTCTTATCAGTGGGGCTTGCAACAGGCCGTGTTGAACTTGAAGAGTCATTTGGAAGAAGCGGGCTATGCCTGCTGGATGGATACTGGTCAAATGGGTGGTGGTGACAAACTGTTCGCCAAGATTGACGCAGGGATTCGTGGTGCCAAAGTCGTGATTTGTTGCATGAATACGGCTTATGCTCAATCGGAAAACTGTTCCCGCGAAGTGCATCTAGCCATAAGTACTGGAAAACCCTTGATTCCCTTACAGATGGAGAAACAAAAGTGGCCACCCGAAGGACCATTGGGTCCTATTATGAGTGAATATCTCTTCATTCGCTTCTTTGATCGTAAAGGAAATGATCCGCATTTTTGGCCTGCAGACAAGTTTACCGAGCTTCTCGGCCAGATTCGTTATCATGTGGCGCCCGATCTCGACATGATTACCGATCGCTATCGGAATTGGTTTGTGCCTCGTGTCGATAATCTTATCTTTTTGCAGCCGACAACGAACACGGACAATGATCAAGCGACCAAAAAAGAACAAATCATTGACAACACACCACTGGTAGTCACACATCCTCAAGTAATGATCTCTTACCAATGGGATCGTCAATCGGACATCGTCGCTCTATACAAACGATTGACACAACTCGGCTATCGGTGTTGGCTCGACATCTTTCAGATGGGCGGTGGCGATTCACTTTTCGAGAAGATCGATGCGGGTATTCGACATGCCAAGTGTGTTCTTGCTTGTGTCACACCAAAATACACGCTGTCCATCAATTGTCGACGAGAAATGTCTCTCGCCGATGCACTAAAGAAGACCATTATACCTCTGTATCTGGAAGACACTAGTACTTGGCCCCCATCTGGTCCAATGGCCATGATTTTCAGCGACAAGCCTTTCATTGATTTGCGTCGACCGAATGGCATATCTACGAGCGCCGATATGTGGACATCAAAGGAGTTCGAGAAAGTTCTAAGTCTACTGAGAGACGCCGTGCCTGAAGTGCACACTGAGAAGCCTCAACGATATCTGTTGGAAATGCAACGACCGACCACAGCAACGACGAAACGGGAGGAAGCCGATAAGCGTTTAGTCAGAGTGAAAAGTGCACCAGTGAATCCACCAAGTCGAGCATGTTCAATTATGTGAACTTTACACACTCGATGTTCCTATGCAACTGAATGAGTATATTTTGGCATTTATAAAACTAGATTTTTATGTACTTGTTGTAATCTTTATACAGCCAAGATAATGAGAGAAATTCAGTGTTCACACCTTATGAAGAAACTTAAAGCTGAGAAATAATATCTTTCTTGGAAATCTATCCTCATTTGCTCTAGTGATTATCTTATCTATGACGAATGCAAAAATCATTGATATAAATGAGACAACACGTTTCAATGTTGCATGTAACCTGTTTTACCAAGATTTGACACAGTAGACAGATTTTCTTGGTATCAAATATAACGTTTGTACTTGTGCCTACCGTCGAAAACACTTGAAAAATAAAGAGAGTGACCAGAACGCAAAAGAATATCATGCTCTATAATGTTCTATGCTTGCATATAAGCATGATCGTTTATTTAACCTTTATACATAGCATGAAGTTTGAAATAATGCATGGCATGCATTCTGTCGAGAAGATGTGTCCGTATGTTCTGTGAGTGCACTCGATGACTCCCAGAACTTAGTCTCATTGACGAGAATAGAAAAGAGAAGGAGAACGAGAAAAAAAAACATACAGACTTCAGAAGTGCATCTTCATTTTGTACTTTAATTCTGATTATTTCTACTATCGTTGTTCATAATACAATAAACGAAACATGGCCAAAACAAAAGAACTTCAACAATATACAGTTCAATTTCTAGCAGACTGTCTTTCAATATGTATTCTAATACTTATTGATGAAGTTGCTCTGGCTAATTTTAAATTTGCTCAACAAACCTTCTCAATGTATACTTTCAGTTGGTATTGCATTTGGTGTTGGCGTGTATGCTGGTAATATTAATAAATAGTTAAATCAGAGTAGTATCTAGAGTAATCAGTTTTCGACACTATCCAAAATTCCTTGTTTATTGAAAATTTCAAAACAATGGAGCTTATTGTTTGTTTGAAGATGCATATTGATATTATTGCTGCTTCTACCCGTTGGTTTCTTCATATCTTTTCATCTTTCAAGCATGAACTCCATGCATATTAATATGAAACTGTTTCTTTTTTGAAAAAATTTACTTTATCCACCCTTAAAGTTTTTTTTACAAACAGTGTCTTCAAAGAGAAACAAGTGAAGTCAATAAATAAGAAACTAATTTGGTACTAATTTTAATAATATATGATATTAATAATTTCATCAAAATAAACTTTTCTGTTCAACTGTGATGATCATTTTGAATCTACCAATTTCACCGGGAAAAAAATTAATATGTATTTGGAAATGTTATTCAACCTATAAAAAATGTAACGTTTTTAACCGAATTGCGAAGCATCACTCATTGTTCAAAAATACATAAAAATCTATTCGTTGATTTGTTTTTTTTATTCTAGCGATGATGATTGGTGGTTCAATTACAGGTATGAGAAAGACTTAAGTACTGCGCTTAATAAAACTTCGTATTGATCGTTCTAGGTGCACATCTTAATCCATTATAAGCATATCTTTAATGACTATTGGCAAGCTCAGTACAGTTGATATTTTCTTCATAATGCCCGCCAAAGGAATACCTCAATGGAATACATTTATCGATCAACTTATCTGTACCTGTTGTCTAATGATTTTTGTTATGGCATTGACATATGTAGGATAATAAAAAATGGAATAGATAATTGAATAATTCATCATTCTATATAGGACTGTAATCATATGATTTCAGAAGTAGCTAAACCATTTGCATTTGTGGCAGTTGTTATGGCTATCACTTGTGCTTTTTTCAATAAATGCGGGAGCGACAATTAATCCTGTATGTATATATTGATTTATGAATTATTATTCTCTCTCTTTCTCACACTTTAGGCTCGTGATCTAAGTCCACGTCTTTTTGGAGCATTTGTCTATGGTTGGAATGATGTATTTCATGTACATAACTACTTCTTTTGGATACCAATAATAGGTCTAATTATGGGTGCCATTCTCGACGTGTGGATACATACAGGTTATACTTGGCTTATTAAACACTATGGTCATTTTCCTAACAATGAACGTACTGATGCTGATAAAAAAATATCCATCCCGAAGATGTACAAACAAAATATATTGATGATTCACATGAGCTTAAACAAAAATTTACAAAAATGCACCGTTAAATCAAAATTATGTAATTATGAATTGATAGTACTATTATATTTAGGCTAGCTTTTTTATATTCACTACTTACTGTGTGATTTCATGTCATTTATTTTGTTTTACGATATCAAATATTGAATAACATAAGGATATTTAACAAAAAAATTTTTACAATGCGAAACTTTAAATAGTAACATTTACCTAGGTTTTTTTTGCAAGTGTTTTTTTATTGTTTAGCTTAATAGACGTACGCATCCAGAACTATTATTTTCGGTCATAATGATTTCAAAAATGAAACGTCAGAAAACATTGGATCAAAAGTAAGGAAGAAAATTTCATGAACGAATATACACCATTTGTTTTCCAACTTTCAATACAACGTTTCCTATCTCTCGAAAGGCGCAAATCGAAAGTTATAATATATAGTATATGCATATTTTTTCTAACGTGACGAAATTCGCATCCAAATACCATATTTAGGTCTAGAAAGATACAATAATCTGAGTATTGAGACATTACTACGGATAGAACGGCTTACCTCGCAGTGACAGCAACATCTGGAACATGTTTTTGACCAGGCACGAGTTCAAAATGAAATTGTCGTACAATAGCTGCAAGCATAATTTTTGCCTGCAACATAGCAAAATTTTGTCCGATGCATGAACGAGGTCCTGCTCCAAAAGGCAGCCAAATATCAGAATAACGCTCATTGAATCTCGATGGATCGAATTTATTTGGTTCATGCCAATGCTTTTCCGAACTATCAGTTGAGCAATAAAAACAAGAGAAGAAAAAAAATACTGAAGTTAGGTCGCCTGTATTTTCCTACTGATGGAGCATGTAGAGATTGACAATTACGTCTGTTCCTTTTTTAACATGAATATTTTTTCCATCTTTGGCTACAAGAGTGTTATCTTTATATTCAAACCTTTGCAAGCTGATTTAGTGAAACCTTTTTTCGCTGATTAATGATATGTTGTACAACATTTTTGATATTTCGTTTTGACTGATCAATGCATCGTTTACCATGTAGTGGTAATTGATTAATGAATGGCGTAATGGCAATCATATTGTACATTCGCTTTTCTAATTCTTTCATTGCTATTGTAATACTTCGAGAAATGATTTCATGAACGTGTTGGTCTCCGATTATTTCTGTTCCGAATACATATCTAGTTACAATATCTAATGTTAGATTTGTCATCTCTTCATGAATGTTAAGAGTTAATGGTTGAGTTTTATTACTACTAACTTCTGTCCATCTGGCGAGAAAACTAGATGTTCTCTCAACCATAAGAGAAATCATAGAATTAATATTTTGATGCTGAAAGACAGGAGCAACAAGTCGCCGATGTCGAATGTGCTTATCATATTCAGCCAATAGGATATTTGCATAACCAAGCAATGATGTAAGAGTCGATTGTTCAAGAGCAGCCCTATGATAGACACGTACATTTGTTTTCAAGACACCTTCGATTAATGATGGATCGCTAATACTGAGACAAGCTTTAGGACCAAACGACATATGATAATAGTCACCGAATTTGGCTGCCATCCTTTTGTCATAAGAATAAGGATCATCGGCAACAGCAGCTCGACGACACTCTAATAATTCGCCAATTATCGGTATGTATCATCCAGGAATCTTTTGTTTCCAAAAATCTCTGTGAATATACCATGGATCGAGTATCCAAAATTTAATGATACGATAAAGAAAAAATAGCAATGCTCCTACTAGCAACAGCGCACACAACATGCCTGTGATTAGCACACAAACATCAACAAAATGTGTAAGTGTTTCTACTGATGATAAGATTCATTTCATGATAGTTGTTGCATGTGCACTTGAGAGAAGACAAAAGTCAATACTCGACATAATATAATGAGAAAAATATCTCGTGTATTGCCTAAAAAAAATCTTTCAGCACAATTCTTGGATAATTGGAATTTGATGAAGTAATACGATCATTGTAGGAGAGAGTATGGATGTAGATAGCGATGTACATATATGAAATATTGTCGTTTCTCTTTTTTTTAAAATTTTTTATGTAGCTTGACCGCCAAGATTAAAGTTGTTGTTAGCGTTGTCTAGTATGTATCATGGAAGGAACGATTCATTCATCGGTTTATTGATGAAAAACTAATTTTTAGAGAAGTTCTAACTGACGCATCAATTTGAACAAAAGGAAATACGAATTCTTCTTCTTTTTAACACCTATGACAAGTCGAAAACAAATTGTTGATATCAATCAATCTACCGAAGATTTTTCTTTATATTCAAAACATGCAATCGAAATGTTAAAAATAAATTCTATTAGACAGTGTGATCAATAAAGTTACACAAAAATATCGAAGAAGTCATTTTCTTTAATTCGATGATTGATGAACTCCATTAACCTGACTCTACTAAAACGATCGATCAAGTAAAAGTTTGTTTTTAAAACCATTGGAATAGACAATTCTTTAACTCATTCGATACTGATACTGCTCAGAAATGAGTCTGTTTTGACAAATGTTCATTTTCTCGAACAAACATTCAAAATACTTTTCGCTAATAGATTACAAAAACATTAATCTTCATATGATTATTGTCCATTGTTTTAAAACGTTTTTATACAGGCGTGGGAGTGGAAGTGGATCTGTTAGTCTATTCTTCCACCACATCCATGAAGGATAAACAAATAGATTGGTATCCTTGATATATGCTATTTTTTATGACAAAAGTCGAAAAAATGATATGCATCAAAATTTAAACTTTACCTCAAAATCTTAAAGTTCATGTATTAAATCTGAATTCCCACATCAGAATAATAAACAATAAAAAATTAAAGGCTGTATTTATTACGTTATCAACGATTGTTACATCACTTCGGTGTCACATGCAAGAAATCCGTGTTTTTCTTATAGTCGTTTGGTTATCATCCCATATCATATGATTATTACTTAACATCTAGTTAAAACTTCTCATGGGAAAGAAGATTAAGAAAAATTACGAGAGAAAAAATACAATATATTCAGTAAAGTCAAATCATTTTTAGATTAAAATCTTTGAACTTTTGATTCAATGGAGAATCGGATTTCCGAATAATTTGAAGAATTAATGATTGTCAAGATTCAAATCAGTTCGATGATAAGCTCATTTTGAGATATTTATTTATATGGATGCAGTATTTTCTGTTTTGTTCCTTTCTCTGCATGACACTTATATGCAACGGCGTTGTGCTTGCGTAATTACAATCAAGCATACGACAACACACAAGTGTTATTATCTGAAAAGTTTATACTCCTACCCAACAAATAATAACAGGCTAATTCCATGGGAAGTTAACCACAAAAAACACAAAGTATTTAAAAAATTTTCTTTTATATCAGGTTTTGTAGAGCTTTTTTCACTGATCATTTTGGTAAAAAAACTTTTTGAAATTTATAGAGAAATGACAATGTTATAGTCAAAGTACTAAACACTGTAAAATAGCATAAAAAGCGACTTTTTCTGATAAATAAGCATAAAAAGTCGATTCACATATCTCAAAATGGCTATATTCTAGAGAAATGTGATATAGTAGGTTTTGCAGAGGAGAGTTCGCTTTACAAGATCCTATAGTCGGTTTCTCATTTAAAATCGAATAGTATGAATAAATCTCGATAGAACACTACATACAATATCTATCGTAACAATAGAAGACATCATGTTTTTTCATACGAATATCATATACAATATTCTATCGAGATTTATTCATACTATTCGATTTTAAATGAGAAACCGACTATAGGATCTTGTAGAGCGAACTTTCCTCTACAAAACCTACTATATCACATTTCTCTAGAATATAGCTATTTTGAGATATGTGAATCGACTTTTTATGCTTATTTATCAGAAAAAATCGCTTTTTATGCTACTTTACAGTGTTTAGTACTTTGACTATAACATTGTTATTTCTCTATAAATTTCAAAAAGTTTTTTTTACCAAAATGATCAGTGAAAAAAGCTCTACAAAACCTGATATAAAAGAAAAATTTTTAAATACTTTGTGTTTTTCTAGTTGATTTCCCATGGAACCACCCATATATAAACATCGACGACTAATATTTTAATATTATCATGATCTATTTTATTAAATAATAATGTGATGCTGTTTCATAGGACTATTCATTTTCAATTCCAATATCTGATCTCATATATCGCTTTGTTATAAATACCATTTGAAAATAAGTAACATAATGCAGTATTTATTCAAATATATAAATATTGCAAGATATTAGTACAGTTTGTTGATGACGTCCTATTTTATACATTCCATTTTGACAAAATTTAGCTGTATATTACATATCGTCAAATGCATCAAATTCATTATTGCGATCAGTAGGAGATAATAAGGGTCAGTAACTGCTAGTTTTCTTTCTTACTATCTATATTCATGAAGATTTTGTCTAAATTATAAAAAAAACAATAAGAAATCTAGAAACTATTTTCATATGTATTTCATATATCTTCAATAAATGAATGCTAATAGTGAAGTATGAAAATATTTTCTACTTCATTTTGTGCATCAATAAGAAATTCTTCCATTGTTTTTGTCATTATTATATTATCTGTAATAAAAGATAATCGTTACAACTAAAAGCAAGTAGAAAAAACAAAAAAAAAGTAGAAATTATTCTGAATAAATTCTTTTACCATAGGCATACGTAAAAATGTTACCTCATTCAATTGATGCATAATCATAGTTAATAATGAGTGATTATTTGTCTAAGTATTCAAGAGAAAATTCAGGATCGACTATACAGTATAAACTACATCTATGGTAAAATTTTCAGTAAGATCGAACTCAAACGATTTTCCTTTTCAAAATTGGTTTTCTATACATCCTATCAAGTTTCAAAACAAAAGTTTTTTCTATCATCATTATCTGTCGATTCTGAAGAAGTCCTCCATGTTGTGGTAACGAAAAGTAAAACCAATTTTTTGAAAAACTTATGCATGCTTAGAAAAACTTTCGATAGAGATTGTTTAGTTTTAAGAGTTGTTTACAGAAATGTATTAATTAGTTTTCGAAAATGTTGCTGTAATTTGGAATTTTTTAAACTAAAATTTATGAAATGAAA